GCAGCCAAATGAGAGAGAGGCTGGGCCCAAGAGTATACACACACTGGAGACAAAAACACTTTGTAGTTTTAAAATAGTTATTTAATTCACACAGAGATTAAGAAGTGTCATTCAGTCCATATGTCAATATCCAGTATATCCATCCAGTTACCTAGTTCATTAACTATTAAGTACAATGTCTTTATCTGCTTGTAAATCTTCTCCTCCCGATACCTTTCTCTCAAAGACAACGCTGAGTATGCACAGCTCACCAAGTAAACAGTCCTTTTGTTCAGTAGAAATGGTATCTTGCACAGTAGCCAACAAGCAGACGTCTCATAACAGTAGTAAACAGCAGGCAGCAGATAGCAGAGAGACCAGCAGACCAGCGACCAGTAACACCAGGAACCAGGGAGACCAGTAACCAGAAACCAGGAAGTGTTACGTCTCTCTCACTGCCTTATTACTGCTGCTTGCAACCGCACCCTTAATTATCACATTACATTGCAGTTTTTGTGCTTAAAGCTGCAAACACTTAAACCTAGGTTTATATATTTATTCATCCAAACCAGTTGGTGTATCCATATACCCAACAGCCATGTTCCCAATTTTTGCTTTTAATGAATAAAAGCAAAGGTGAGCAGTTTGGCCAAGAGCCACCACATTGCTCACATGTTGAATCAAATTATATAATTCATATGGGGTTTTTTCCCTCCATCTACTTCAATATAGACTCTCTTAACTGGCAGAATCTTCCAAAGTCTTAGTTCCATATTTATCATTTAAATGTCTAGGACAACTCACATGCCAAGGATTGGCAGTGGCAGGTAGAGATTATTCAGTTTATTGTCCTTTTAACGAGATGTTGATCAAGCATAGCAATTTCCAATGAGGAAAAAATCTGTTTCTGCCCACTGAATTTCCATTCTATTTCCTCTCCTCCACCAATGATATAAAGCAACACAGCCCCCAGCCCCCCTGCCTGATTGGGGCTGATACTGAATGAGCTTTCATGGGAATGAGCTGTGAAATCTTGCCTTGAGAGGGTACCAGCCAGATTCTGCCACAATCCTCTTAAAAGGATGAAATGGCATAATCCTGTCGGGTCAGGGCTTCTCAATTGCAGAGACTTGAAACATCTGGAACAAGATTTTAAAAATCCACACTCCTGCGTTATTTTTATAACTATGGGCAAACGGAGGCACATTTCTCAGCATTCTGTGGCGTAGTAGTTAGAGTGCAGTATTGCAAGCTACTTCTGCAGCCAGCTGCCTACAATTTGGCGGATCGAATCTCACCAGGCTCAAGGTTGACTCAGCCTTCCATCCTTCCGAGGTGGGTAAAATGAGGACCCAAATTGTTGGGGGCAGTATGCTAAACTGCTTAGAGAAGGCTGTAAAGCACTATAAAGCAGTATGTAAGTCTTAAGTGCAATTGCTATTCAGACCTGCTGAGAAAAGCTTCAGCTTTTCTCCAATCCTGCAACAGGTTGGCTGCGTTAACGGCTTTGCTCGCCTGTTGAGATGGCTTTGATGGAAATCTAGACATCTGTCTAAAGATGCTGTTTTCATCTCTCAACCTTGCATACTATAAGCTTTCCTATGTCAGTATCCAAACCACCTTCTGGACCTCAGTCTGGATCTTCTATCCCACCAGAGGCCCTATGCACAAACATATTTTTAGGAGTCGGGAGCTTTAATAAGTAGAAACCTCCTAGTGGAACTACAAAGTGCTCCCCAGACCATTGTTGTTTTGTAAATGCTGCTGCCCCTCCCATAGCCATATTATGAGGACAGTTCCCCAAATGTCAACAGGTGTGTGTTCTTGTCTTGCCCCTTCAATCCCTGGACCCTTCTCTGCATGCTGTAGGACAGGAGTCTCCAAACTTGGCAACTTCAAGACTTGTGGACTTCAACTCCCAGAATTGCCCAGCGAGCATTACTAGCTGAGGAATTCTGGGAGTTGAAATCCACAAATCTTACAGTGGCCAAGTTTGGAGATCCCTCCTATAGGACTCCTTTTTCACCTAGCCTGAAAATCCGCTCACAAATTCTGCTGGTGTAATTGAAATAACGAAGAACCCTGCTTGATTTGTCTATGGAGATTCTCAGTCATCCAGCTCCTGGTTGTCCCAAAGGTGCGTTTTCAAAAAGCAACTGGATTTTGTTTTTCCTTGAAGACATTTGGTTTCTCATCCAAGAAGATTCTTCAGTTCTGTCTGCTTGATTCCCTTGTAGTTCAGAAACTCCACAGAACATTGCCTGCCTTTTATGAGCGCCAGAAATCTCTCCCATTTGTGTCCTGAGATCAAGCATTGGAGAGTCTCTGCCAGGGGGATCAGTTGTGGTTCACCCTCTCTGCCTCCCTTTGAGATCTGCTTCTGGCATTTGTTAATGGGGTACTGTTAGCCTTGACACCCATGGCACCCACAGGATATTATTATGGGTGCCATGGATGTGACTCATCTACCGCATGTGTTCTGGGCATGCTGCCACTTCTGTGTCCATTCAAGATGCCCTTCTGCTAATTTATTTTCAGCAACGTTTGGCCCATAATAATGAGAAGACCTGTCCTGCTGCCAACTAGACTAGAACTTCCCTGTGATGGCCTGTCTCAGAATGCTGTCAGCTGGGTACCATGAAGCCGTTGAATATTGAAGCTTACCACTTTCTGGTGATGCTTCCTGCGATCTCTTCTTTAAACAAAAATGAGCAATCAGATTTCCTAAGATTCAGCAGTGGGTCTAAGCTGAGGTGGCAAAATGTTGGTGAGGATGCAGAGACAAAGGGCCCATTTCAGACCTCCCATTTCGGAATCTTCACCCTCCATTTTTGTCTTGCTGCAACCTACATCCATGGAGCAAGACCCCAGATGCTGAAATCATTCTGGGGCTCTAATTTCATGATTTATTTTGCTGCCTTGAATGAGTACCGTTCGATCATTTGAATTATGAACCACCCTTTGGAAGGGGTTGCCTCCATGTATGGGGTACAGGAGCAATTACTGTCCTCTCCCCAGGTTTTTACCACAGGTCTGCAATTGATTTGCTTCAAAAGCCCTTTGAAACCAGCCCAAGAGAGGAGGGCGGGAGTGCATGCCTGTGAATATCCTGTTTTCCATTGTGTGATCCTCTTTCCAGTGGTCTGCAAACTTCCCGGCTTCCCACGCTTTCATTAAACCTCAAGAAAAGACATCAGGGTGAGACAATTCCCATGGAGCTTTTTAAGCAATAGCGGTACTGTCATTAAGGGGGTGCCCTATTTTTAAGAGGCTTTTGGGAAATGTCTGCTACGGGGAAAATTTGGAAAGGGTCACCCAATTTCTCTGCCTACATATTTTATGGAGAATTTTGGAAGGCTGGCTGAGTCCAAGTTCGTTAAAAAAAGGCTTTGCCCGGCAAAGGAACTGGGAGTCATTGCTAGAACAGGGCTTTTAATCTTTTCACACAATCCTCCCAAGAGTTTTCTTTATTTGGCAGCATTTGAATTGGTTGTATTACATTTATTATGACTGGCCACTCTAGAAAACTGAGCAGTTTTCAGTATCCAAATTTATAATAGTACATTTGGGGACCAGAATCCACAATTTATTACACATAGTCCTCAACTTACAAGTTTAGTTCAAAGTTACATCAGCGCTGAAAAAAGTGAGTTATGACCGTTTTTCACACTTATGACCATTGCAGCACCCCCAAGGTCACATGATCAAAATTCAGACACTTGGCAAGCGATTCATTTATAACAATTGCAGCCTGCGTAATCACCTTTTTGCAGTTTACGTAATCACCTTTTTTGCAACCTCCTGACAACCAAAGTCAGTGGGGAAGCCAGATTCACTTAACAACTGAGTTACTAACTTAACAACTGTAGCAATTAAAATGGGGCAAAATTCACTTAACAACTGTTTTGCTTAGCAACAGAATTTTTGAGCTCAATGGTGACCATAAGTTAAGGAGTACCTGTATTTTTATCCTGCCTTTTTTACTTTGTAAGTAGCTCAAAGTTGATAAAGTTTCTTTATAAGTTACTCAATAGAATATCTCCCACGATGTGCCCAGAACTAGAGAAGGTTCTACTAGGAGTAAACGCCATGTTCAGTTCCTCCACCATCTGCCTGCTCTGAGGGTGGCTTTATTCCTCCGCCCCCTCCACCCACCCATCCCACTGCAGAGAGAGAGATCTGAGAAATAGGAGCCTCACAGTCTGTGTAACCATGGACACCACCTCCAGTCTAGCTGGTCACAGCCATCTCCCAACAGATTAATGGCCTCATTGTCAACCAGCATTGTTCTGCTTGGAGCTTACAGAGGCCCCGGTTGACCCCATCACCCAAAATAGCCATTCTGGACTCATCGCTTCCTAAAGGGGATGCATCCCAGTGAAGTCTCTCCAGGGCCCAATTGCCTCTGCTTGGAGGTTAATGGGCGTAGCCTTTAGCTGGAAGGAATGAAAGGACAAGCAAGATCCTTCATGATAAAGGCTGATTATCAAGTTGCAGGTTGAAAACAAGGAGGCATCTAACTATTGTGGAAAAGCAGACAGAAATTTGCTTAGTGTTTCAGACCAGATAAGGAAGAAAAGGAGATTTAGGCAGCCGGTGAAATTCAGATGATCTGGGTGGATGGAAAGAATTGTAGATAGAAAATCCAGTTGAGTTTAGAACCAGAAAGGTACAGGTTGAAGACCGTTTTGAAAATGTAAAACTGGATGCACACAAATGCATGTGATCTCCAACTCCATTGATTTCCAGTTCTTGAGAACCATGAATGTCCTAGGCCCACCCATCCTTTCATCTATAGAGATTCTCAGTCATCCAGGTCATGGAATTAAAATATGAAGCGGCTTGAACACATTACCTGGATAATATTAAGTTTCTATTGTTATAGTATCACCTTATAGAAATGTTCATATTTGAAAAAAGAACGGGTGTTCCAAAGATGCTTTTTCAAGAGGCAACTGGATTTTGTTTTCCCTTGAAGACATTTCACTTCTTATAAAAGAAGCTTCTTCAGAATGGAAGATGTTTCTTGGATGAGAAGCAAAACTAATATTATCCAGATAATGTGTTCAAGCCACTTCGTATTTTAATTCCAGAAACTGAACACTCTGCTTTTTCAATTTTGAATGCCAAAGAATTGAAAATGGATTTACGGAAGATCTTTTCTTGGTAGTTTCCTCCAAATCTATTGTTTTAAACCGATCAACAGCTTCACTGTGGTTGGGCCTCTTCTCATTCCCGTGGCTGTTGTTTTATTTACTTAAACGCGATGTAAAATTCTCTCCCCTCAACCTAACATCCTCCAGAGGCTTTAAGGGACTACATAGCCATAAGGCTGAGAATTCATAACCCAAGACCACCGTGTTGGGGACAGCAGAAGGAGAATATTCTGCTAGTTTTCCATTCAGTTGGCAAACTTAAAAAAAAAGCTGGATGCATTTGAGAGTCAAAGGCTTTTCCTGTGACACCAGCTAAATCATAAAGCACTTTGCAGGAGGTGGGGGTTTAAACTGCCCTCCTTTTCTTAGGGAGGATGGTCTCCTCTCCCAGTTTTTTTTTAATCTGACAGAAAAGGTTAGTACACTGCATTATTCTCTCCTTCAGGGTCCACTTCCTAATTTCGGTCACATTTTTCTTCCAGTGTCCAAGAAGACAGGAATGTACCTATGAGAATGCATAGAAAAACAACAAGCAAAGAACAAAATAAAACTATTTTTAAAATCCTGTCCTTGCTCCCTATGGCCAATTGCAGGAGATGCAACGGAGTTGGGAGGAGGTCTTGGGGACCTAATCCTCTGCTCCCCACTGCTGCAGGCAACTCCTCCCTCCCGGGACTCGCCCTCCTGCTCCCCTCTGCGCTGCCCCTCCCTGACGGGTGGAAGAGACCAAGTCCTCGATCAGATGGATGCCTTTGGGGAGCCGAGTCTTGCATCAGGTAAGTTGAATGCAGCAGGGGTCTAGCACAAGGTGTGGAGGGGTGTCTACGGCTGGGGATGGCACCAGTGTTGTCATCAAACAAAGGGGCTCCGAGTGAGTTGCCAAATGCTCAGGTGAGCTGTTGGGAAAAGAAAAGCCAGGTGGGTTTTTACCCAGAGGGAAGTGGAGGGCTGGTTCTCTGAAGAGATCCAAGAGGTGAGAGGGGATGTAAGTCTGAGTGTGTTGTACAAAATCACAAGTCCTTAAGTGCATGTGCTGCACATTCAGTGAGAAAGAAAAAGAAGGGAATGGAAAGGGAAGGAAG